AACCCCACACTCCTCCTCCAACAGCTTCTGCTGCAGCCGTTTGCCTGCTCCGTCAGTAGAGGTCAGCCCAAAGCCACCACTAGAAGTGGGACCACAGAGCTCCGGAGTCAACTCACCCTGGCAGGAAGGAGCCCTGGAGCTGCCAAGTCCTCACCACCGTGGACCCCAAAGGCCAGTGTGGTTGATACAGGGAGGTGACCCCATTTGGGCTATCTCTGCAGGGGTGTGTGCACTCAGGTCGCTCTGAAACCATCCCAGGTGGGTTCAAATGGAGAGGAGGCACCATGGTCTGGCAGCCAAAGCACAGGGCTCCTGCAGGCCAGCCTGGAGCTGGGACTACCCACAGCGGGCACTCACAGGGCCCACTTCTGGACCGTAGTCTTGTGCCCAAGAACCATCCACACCTTACAACCAACACCTATGTAAGACATTACCAAGCCCTTGAAACAAAAGACTGTTGGATGTTAATCCCCTCTCAGGGACACTGGTCTGAAGACTGTCCAGTTCCCACTCCTCTTCCTCTTTGGCTCTGTCTACCTCAAGCTCATTCTGCACCAAGAACTCCCTCCCAGGCAAGTACCAGCCTAGTAAATAAAGCTCACACCAAGACTTGAGTCCCCCACATGGAGGGGAGAACAGAAGGGGAGTCTCTCCTTAGTCCTGGCTCCTCAGAGCACAGCAAGTAACTGTAAGGGGTCAGTCCCCTCCACCCGCTCCGGGGAAAGCTGCAATTGCTGCCTCTCTGCTTCCCAGCACCTTGTGCCCCTCAGGAGGGGCTGAGGGTGTCTGCAGGGTGATGCTGGAGAGCCCAGGCACTGCCCTAACCTCAGTGCAAGCTCCTGGGCACCACCAGATGGAGGAGCTCGGAGCTGATGTGTCCCTGCTCTCACACTGGCAAGAGTTCTGCATTTCAATCCCAGAGCAGTTCCTCTTAAAGAGGCCCCAGGTCCCTCCTCACGGGTCTGCCCACAGGTGTCTCTGCTTCCCACCCCACCAGCTCAAGGAGGCCGAGCTCCTCCTGGACATCCTTGGCAGAGAACAAAAGGCCAGGCTTGGACAAATCAAAGCCCTCTCTGTCCCGAGCAGAACAAGAGCCCCATAAATACAACACTGCTATTTAAAACCTGCCATCGGTTGTTGGCTTCCAGCTTTGAAACAGTTCAGCTTTTAACTTGGAAGGACCCAGGGACAATGGATTAACCCATTTACTCTTTATATAGAGCCTGCTGGAGTCCTCCAAGTGCCTGGATTCCTTCTTCATCCCTATTTAGCCTCCTCTACGTCACCTCTGTTCTGTAGGTGTTGTGTTACTGCACTCGCTGCTGTGCTCCTCCCCTGGGGAGAAGACATACCCCTCACTCCTTCCCCGCTCCTCAGCTTTCTATAAATACAACCTCATGCACAACGAGGCAACTGGAAGTTGCTCCAGCTTGTAAACAACCTCACCAGGGTCACATCCAGTCTGCTTGGACTGGAGGCAGGGAAAGCCGTGGCAGCAGGCTGAGAAGTATCACAGGCTTGGGGGGGTTTAAGCTCTGTGTGTGTGTTCATCGAGATCCAAGGTTGCTGGGAGCAAATTCCACTGAAGAGCCACAGCCCTGGTTCAACCACAGCAGCACGTTCACTCTTCCCACACTTCCAGGGCCCTCTTTGCCGCTGCTCACCCTGGAAAGGAGCTTTGCCACCAGGGCCTTGTGGTCACCAAGAGAGCACACGTGTGCTTGTGACCCCGCCTCGTTCTTCCCTAGTTTCTCTGGGAACATGGGAAGTGCAGGCTTGGCACCTCCAGCCTCCTGCTCTAGGCCACTTGGTTCACAGTGATCTTACGACATTAGGAGGCTCCAAAGACATCCATGGAAGGGCACCAGCAACTGCCTGCAGGAAAAGCCCAGTGAATTCCTCACCACTTTGGCATTTCTAAAGAAACCTGCATGAATGAGAGGCTTTATTTTCCAGAGGGACAATCACCAGGATCCAAGAGAGAAAAAGCCCATCTTAGGTTTTAAGAAAGGAATAAAAAGCAGCTGGTTTGTTCATGGCAGTGTGTGGAAGGGCTCCTGAGAGCTACAGCAGGGTGTGCAGCCACCCCAGTGCAAACCCACCCTCCACTCCCTGCCCAAGGGAGTTACTCACATAAAACCAGCCCTGAAACGTTTCTCTGCTCCCCACAACCCTCTGGTTTGCCCCATGTACTGGAGCTGGCCCAGACACCACCTATAATAAGTATGGTCTGTTCATTGGAATTACTCCTGAATTCAGGCAGTGATTTCTCCCACCCAGTAATCACCATCAACACCGGATTGCTGGGTCCTTCCTATGCAATTATAGAGTTTTTATGTGTTAAAAGAGAGCAAAAATTAAAGCCATTTTCTATCTCACATGTTCTATCGTATGCCCTCCTCCTCGAGGCTCTTCTTTGGAAATGCAAATCCTTGTGTGGAACTAACTCCAGCACCTTTGATTCCTCTGTCTGCTTTATACCTCCCACTGACAGATGTAGGGCTCAGAAACATGACCTGCTGCATCCCTCTTCCTGCTTGCTGTGCCCAGCTGAGATAGGTCATACCTGAGGGAGCAGAGCAGCTTCATGGAATGAGTTAGGCTGGGAGAGACCTTAAAGCTCCTCCAGCTCCAACCCCTGCCACAGGCAGGGACACCTTCCACTAGAGCAGGTTGCTCCAAGCCCCTGTGTCCAACCTGGCCTTGAACACTGCCAGGGATGGGGCAGCCACAGCTTCTCTGGGCACCCTGTGCCAGCGCCTCAGCACCCTCCCAGGGAAGAGCTTCTGCCTTATCTCCAACCTGAACTCCCCCTGTTTCAGTTTAAACCCATCACCCCTTGTTCTGTTGCTACAAGCCCTGGATATAGACAAGGCAAAGTACACAAAGAGAGGTTGTCACTTCAGTGTCACTCACTGCCAGGGGAGATGTTTGCAGTTGCAGACTGGCTTTTCCCAGGAGGAACGATGACATGAAACACATCTGTTGATTGCAAACACCCAGCATTTCCATAGCCACATCCTTAGGAAATGAGGTGAAAAGGGAGGCTCACTACCAAGAACTCCAAGGCACTTGCATTCTAGCAGCCATTTGTTGGTTTATTATTTAAAGTTAAGAGCGCTCATCAGCTCACAAATGAACAAATTCCATTCCTGCAGTCGAGTTCAGGTTTCAGCCAAAAGGAAACAGAAACTAGAAGGCAGCTCAACTAACTCTGCACTTGAGAGCTCCACAGAAGTGAAACCTCCTGGCTTTATAAATAAAGGTTATAGTTAACACTGCAAAACTGGAAGGGCAGATCTACAACAGCTCGAAGGGGCAGAGCGTTGGGTTATTGAGGCATGTGGATATGCTGGCTTATAAATACAAGTAGAGAAGCTTCCGTAGCATCTAGTGCATGGTTGGTTGCCAGGGTTCTGCTCTCCCAGCTCTTGACCTTTCTCAGAGCTCAGAGGCAGCTGCTTCATCCCCAACTGTGTTTTCCACCCTTTGCCCAGGGCCAAGCACTGAGCCACAGGCTGCCAAAGCCCAGTCACTCCCCCTGCAAGAAGATCAACTGCTGCCACGGCAGCACGTTCAGCAGCACCGAGTGTTCACCACCAAGGAAGGTTCTGCTAAGAGAGGCAAACACCACCCTGAGAAAGGGCTTCAAGAGGAAACCCTTGGGCTGGGTGCAGATCCTAATTCAAGAAGGAGTTTGCCCTAACAGTGGCCAAGTGAGATTCCAAATTCAATCTTGGAAGTAGCACCATCCTCGGTGAAGTTGCAAAAGGAATCAAAAGCCAAAAGCAGAAACTAACAACCCACTCCAGGGAGGGTTCCCCAATGGGATAACCAAGAGCCCAATTGATGGATACCAACAAACCTCAGCAGAACGAGGAGGCACCTTTAACTTTCATTTCTTTCTTGCTTCTTCCTTCAGACCACCCTCATGCAAACGTGCCACCAACACTCACCTGCTTTAACACCCAGCCAAGCACCACCCCTCCCATCCTGGAGGCTTTGCCAAAGCACATCCTCAAAGATGCTTCAAAGTGCCCTGGTTTGGCTCTGCAACCTGGCCATATCCACCTCTAATCCCTGCTGGCCTCTGGAGCTAAAGGACCTCGGTGCAGGGAAGGGAGTGAACGTTGCAAGAATGGGCAAGCTAAGAGCCTAAATGCCACGGTAATGGTTTGTGTTGGAGGCAGCAGTTATCCCTCCCCATTCATAAACCCCAGCATCTCTTGATGAAAACTAGATAACCAAAACTGACCTTACTATTATCTTACAGGATTGAAGAAGTCTTGCAGCATAGATAGGGCCTGGCTCTAAAAGAGAAAAAACAACCCAGCTTTATGCACAATCAGTGAAATCTCCTGCCTTTACCACCACTTGCTACTTGGCCAACCAAGGGAGAAACAAAACCCATCCTCAGCATACCCAGCCCTACTGCCATGCAAGGCAACTACCTCAGCAGAGCACAAGCCACTCGGCTCTTCCACTCGTACTGTCCCAAATCTGAGAAAGGGGGTGGGAAAAGAATGAGGTGGAAGAAGTTTTATTCCTCGCTTGCATTCCTATCTGCTCGGTATGTGGGATGGGAAGGGCTAGAGCACATGGGTGATGTGTAGCTGCTCCAAAGCTTAATGCTGAGTTAATCCGGCACTAACGGGAGAGGCAGCAGGTCCCAGGGAATCTCCATGGTCCTTCCTTCTCAGGACAAGACGGTTGGCTTGGGAAAGAACAGGGGTTGCAGCCTTCTCTGGATACAGTGCACTGGAGCTATCTGGTACCTGAAGATGACAACAGAGGGGCAGCCATGGGCTCTCGAGCCTCTTCTTCCCCTAGCCCTGCACACGCCAGCTTCATGGTGACAGATGAGGACAAAGCTCACATCCCATCTCAGCACAGCAACAGCCTTCGGCATCTAGGCAAGGATGGCCCGGGATCTCAGGCTGCACTACCTCTGTGGGGTGGAAGAGGTGCTGGGAGAGGCTGGGGGCTTCAGCTCTCCCACTCTAATGCAGTTCAATGAAGGCTTCCAGCTCCTCGGGGATGAAACCCTTGTAGGGAATCTTGTGCTTGTCCAGGGCGCGAGCAGCAAGGCACTGGAGGGTGATGTAATTGAAGGGCTGCATCATGCTCTTGGTGAGCAGCTTCTCGTCCAGCAGCTCATAAGCAGTCTGCTTGAAGGCATTGGTGGCATCCATGTGGGCTCCAGCCTCCATCAGGGCACTCATGATGAGCGGGCAGTTGTTGCGGGCAGCGATGTGCAGCGGGGTGTTGTTGTCATAGTCACGGCTGTCTGGGTCAGCCCCACACTCCAGAAGCAAGTTCACCACGTGGAGCGAGGGGAATTTGCCCACGGGATAACGTCCCACTGTTGTGGTGTCTTTGTCCACAGCCATATGCAAGGGAGTGAAGCCGTTCTTGGCCCGGGGGCTGCACTTGAGCAGGCGGTAGATGGCCTGGCGCTTCTGGTGCTCCTGCTCCGGGCTGCACTCCACCTTCTCCAGCAAGAAGACCAAGTGGAGGATAATGGCCAGTGTCTTGGTGAACTGTGCCGAGTCAACTACAGGGTCCTTGCCATGCACAAGAGCTCTCTCCACCTCCCGGACCCCTTTGCTTAGTACTCCCATGAGGTCCGAGAAGCCCAGGTGAGTCGCTAAAGTGCCTTTGGAGCGGTCCTGAAGCACGTAAGAGAAAAGCTCAGCAAAGGAAAGGAAGCTGCTGGCAGTCATGGGGCTGAGAGGCTCCAGGTTGCCTTGCTGCATGTCCAGGGCGTACTTCCACAGGTTAATGCAGCGCTCGAAGTTGCCGGAGTCAGCGTAGACGGCTCCTCGGTAACGGATGTAATAGGAAGTGTCAGGGTGGGAAGGCCCCAGGATGCGCTCTCTGATCAGCAGCGCCTGCATGCGCATCTCATCCGGATCAGTGATCAAGGCTTCCAGCTCCTCCAGCGAACTCACTTCCCGGGAATAGTCGTAGGCCAGCACCAGCTGCCGGGGCTCAGGTTTAGGCAGGTATTGCCCCCCCTCACACCGAAGCTCCATCGCCCTTCGCCAGTACTTGTGGGCTCCCAATAGGTCTCGTTTCTTATCCACAAAGGTGGCACCCCAGTGCTCCCACAGCAGCCTCTCGAGTGCAGAACACGTTAGGGACCTGCTGCTCATCCTGACTGGAAGCCGAGGCGCAACATCTCTCACACGGCTCTTCATCACAGCCCTGAGGAGCTTCCTTGCCAGCGCCACAGCACCTCTGACGGCTCCCACCTGACGCACAGGTCCCATTTTGGCTCCCCGCAACCTCCTCCTCCTCCTGCTGCAGCCCCCCCTGGATGAGGTACTCCACGATGTTGGTG